TGGGGCCTGAACTCTGGGCCTAGGCACTGTCCCTCAGCTCTTCAGCTCAAGGCTAGCGCTCTACCACTTGAGCCACAGCGCCACTTCCGGCTTTTTTCTCTTTTTGTTCATGTGGTGCTGAGGAATCGAACCCAGGGCCTCAGGCATGCAAGGCAAGTGCTCTACCACTGAGCCACCTTCCCAGCCCCAATGATGCAGACCTTTGTAGAGAAAACACAATGTCCATAAGAGTCAGGATTCCTACCTGATATAATGTCTTCTGTTAGTTTCTTTTCCCTTTCAATTTTTTTCTCCAGAGTAGAAATGCAGAATTCATAGCCAGCAAGAGCAAATTCCTGTCTGTGAAGCAAGAATCAATAATCAGCTGTGTTATACCCGCTTTTTCTTGGTGCAGGTTTAAGCATTAAAAGAGGAAATTTTGCTAAAAGTGTTTCTGAAACGCCATTTCTCACAAATTTTGTTTTGTTTTTTGGAGAGATGATTGAACTCAAGTCCTTGAGGACTCTACCACTTGAGGCACATCCCTAGTGTTTGCCTTGAACTATAATTTTCCTACCTTGGTTCCTAAGTGGGATTAAAGATGTGTATGATCACACTAGCTGTTCTTTTGAAGTTCTGAATAACATTTTTGCCTGGGCTAGTCACAAACTTCAATCCTTCCATCTCAACCTCCAGTAGAACTGGGATTACAGGCATATACCACCATACTCAGTTCTTAGAAGTTTTTAAGTCATCTAAGGTAAATTAAGATATAAGAAACTAGAAACACTACCAAAATCTCTATAACTGACATAGCCAGCAGTCTCTCATTATCCCTCACTACCAAGTTTCAAGTGAATGCTTAGCCTCAAGCACCTCTGCACTGAAGATTCCAAGTTCTTCCAACAGGAACTTCGGGGAAGTTTTGGTGGTTAATACTTGTCCCAAACTGTATGTCTTTGGTAAGTTTCTTACACTGGAATGACTTGTTGTTTTAAGCATGGGAAGGAATTAACCTTATAAAGTGAAAGAGCAGCCGGGCGCCAATGGCTCACGCCTATAATCCTAGCTACTCAGGAGGTTGAGATCTGAGAATCGTGGTTCAAAGCCAGCCCAGGCAGGAAAGTCCATGAGACTCTTATCTGCAATAAACCACTAGAAAACCGGAAGTGGCTCTGTGGCTCAAGCGGTAGAGCGCTCACCTTGAGCTGAAGAGTGCAGGGACAGCACCCAAATCCAGAGTTCAAGCCTCACAACTGACCCAAAAATAAACAAATAAATAAAGTGAAAGAGCAATTGATCAGGGCAGCAGGGACGAGTGTCAGGGCCGCTGGCCTCAATGAGCACCCCAAACCTCCAGCACCAACCTCTGCAAAAAGTAAAAGTCTAGAGAAGCTAGTCTTAGCTCTCCCCCTAAACTCATCCCAAAATTATACCAGAAGCTCCTCACTTATATCCTAGTGTTGCACTGCTTAATAACTCCACCTAGGCTTTACTCATCGATGTTCTGGGCCTTTGACACACATCTGCCTTGTTTCAAAGTCTTCCCACATAGCTGGCACTACAAGAATGTAGAATCACTTATTTTAAAACTAGCACCTATTTCCTAATTTCCTTACCAATCCTCTACTTCAGGCTATTTCTTCTTCCAGAAACCTAGCTTTTGGTCATCTCTACAAGTCTAAAGGCAGTGGTAAAATCACTAAAACATCTTACACCAAACCTCTACTAAGACATTAAAAAAAATAGTCACTGATTTTGCAGAATGGAAAATGAGCCACCAGATAATATAGAGCAAATCTCACCTTTTAACTTCATACCCAATGTCATCCTACTAAGTCCTCTATCAGCAAAACAACTCCAAAACAAAGTCCATTGCCCTCAGCAGAGTTTACATTGTTCATTCTTCTTCTAAGAAGTCTCAACTCTTAACTTCCCTCCCCATTTCAATCAAGAACAGAAAGCTTGATAAGCTTTAATCACAGGGCAGACACAGGTGTAAAGACTGTGTGCTCCATTCATTAGGCTAATGAAACAGCAGGGCAAAATTGGAAAGGCCTGAAAACTGAAGAGATGACATAAAACACTTTGAATGTTAACAATCCAGTTTTTTGAAAGCCCAGATGACTCCTCGGGAAAATTAAGGCAGATAGACTCAGAATCAGGGTATTTTGCTACAGCACTAATTCCTGGCCACTACCAGACTAGATCCAGACTACACTTACCTATTCTGAGCAGCATAAATACTGGCCAGCTTCAGGGAGATTTCAATTATTGTATTGTCTTCCTGTTGTGAAAAAGCCAAAAAAAAAATTCATAATGAACTTTGTCATGACGTAGTTCAGATCAACTTCTAACTGATTTGGCCTCATAGCCATAATGCTTACTTTTTTTTACAAGAATTAGAAATTGTGATTTTGATTTACAGAAATATTGGGCATTTTTGTATGGGTTTAGGAATTAAAAAAAAACAAAAAAGCCAAAAGGTGGCTTTTTTTTTTTTTGCTTCATATGCTAGAGGCTGCAGGGAGTTTTCAGAAAGCAAGACTCTTTTGCAAACTGCTTCTATAAGTAGATAGTATGGGGCTATGTCCCTACCTGCTTCATGCCCCCTCCAAGCAGGTAACTCATAGTTGCTTTAAAAAGCTGTTCCGCCTAAAAGCATAAGAGAGATGTTTCTTTTATTTGGGCCCCACTATTTATGAAACCCTAGATTTTACTTACTTTTAAAACTGAGTCTTATTATCTAGGCCAGAGTGATCTCAAACTCAACTTTCCCCGTTTCTACCTCCCAACTCGTGGGACTACATGAATGTGGCTACCATGCCCTGCTTGGGTCTGAATTCTAAGTACCAGTCTGTATCATTGTTTGCAAATATACAGAGAAAATTAAACTCTTGTGAAGAAAGAATGAACAAAAAATATCCTGTGTACCTTAAACTACTCTATGGTGAGCAGGAAGTAAGTTTGGATATTAGTTTCTCATCCAAACAGTGTAGTAGAAGCTACAAATTGTCCCCTAATATTCATTCTATCATTGTAGTTAAAAAAAAAAAGTCCCCTCAATTTTTAGTTAATAAGCCTTCCTTAGAGCTATGTGTGGTCACATGATGAAGTTCTTGTCAAGAGTTGGCTGGTGTCATATTACAATCCTCCTGATCTCCAACTCCAGAAAAGCTAGGATTACAGATGTGAGCCATTGTGAGCCACTGGAGGTCGTAACCCATACATTGCTCTTGTTGTCTTCCCTCCCTTTCTTCAGGCTGGAGGTGCATCAGTTCATATATGCAGATGAGAACATATCTCAGAAAGAATCTGGGCTTCTGAACCAGACAGAAATGCCTACCTGACATGATTTCAAGTCTTTAGCCTACCTGTGAACTAATGCATTAGAGACACACTTCTATCTTATTTGAATACTGTATTTGCAAGACTCTGAGATTATTACTTACATTTTCCAGCTGACCTCGTATAAATGCTAAGTTGGCCATCTGAAAACAAATTATAAATTGATGTTCAGTTTAGATTACAGAATTCCGAATAATGTATAATCCTTTATGGTAAACATTCCTTTTGCTTTCGCCCTCTATAAAAATAATTCAAAGCAGAGAAAATATGTCCAGTTAATCTCATACAGCAAAGATATGAGCAGTAAATAGTTTGTTGCATATATTCTGTTGGTAACAAGCCAAAAAGTCCACTGACCACTAAAGAAACATATATAATGTTTCTTTTGGGTCTAGGATTGAGATAAAAATTACTCTGGGGGGCTGGGAAGGTGGCTCAGTGGTAGAGCGCTTGCCTTGCATGCTTGAGGCCCTGGGTTCGATTCCTCAGCACCACATAAGCAAAAAGAA